ATGAGACAAAGGCATTCATTGAAACACAGATGATACCAACCAAAGATATTAACACAGACCAAGACAAAATACTGAAAAGAGGTGATAAATCTGAAAATCCCTAGACTTCAGCAAGATTAGAGATTCTTAAGCCCCATCCCTTAAAGGATTAACTTCAAGCTTTGTTTTTTAAATAATGGAAAACTTGAGATGCTAATGAGGTGGCCACAGAAGCTCAAGTACAAAGGCACCTGAAAGACAGACAGGGGACCTTGCTCTATCACTGCTGGAAAGAAAGGCGATTCCTGTCTGAACCTAATGAATCTTCTGAAGCTACAAGAAAGATAACTGCAGATAAAAACATGGACCACTAAGGAGGATTAGGCTAAGATACTAATGCAAGTGGGTTTTTTGTTTTAAAATGCTGGACCATAGATACACTATTTTTTACATGCAATACAGTCTTATTTATTTTGGGAGAACACCCAAGCCTAATTTCAGCCTTCTTTTTTCAAACTACAAAATAACGCTCCACTATTACAGCTTAGGAATGTTAAATTTTTAAGTCAGTGCTGCTTTGCGATAATTTTTAAAGCATTCACACATTGCTGAGATTAGGCAAGTGATATCAAAAGGAAGAAAGACTTAACTATTAATAAGCACAAGCAACAGCTCTGTAAGCTCAATTAGCTTTTTGGTAGCTTTGCTCTATTACTGGAACCATATATTATGGCAGTAATTTCTTCTTTCAAAGGTACAACACTCCATGTACTCAATAAGGAATAGACATTGTCCTCTCAAAACTTAAACTAAAATTTCCTGTTAACATGAGAAACAAGTTAGGCTTACCTTATCAGCACACATTGCCACTTTAATATCTTGTTTTGTAATCTCGTAATGTCTTATATTCCGCACATAATTCCCTACCAATTTTAAGATGTCTGCAGAAATGTATTCCAACACTGCCACTATGTAAACAGACACTTGGTGGTCAATTTTGTAGCCTAGAACTTCCTGAAAGGGGAAAAAAAAAAAAAGCATTCCACTGTTACTCAGGCAATGAAATACACACCATAGATTACAAGTAAAACCAGTAAGTTTAAGACCCTACTCTAACATTTGCCACATATCCACAGTCTATTTTAGAAACAGTAGTCTGTAGGCCTAGAGAAGAAAGTGTCATTGTAGATGCTGCTCTCTTAACTGTGGAAGTAATAACAGCCAACCAACTGTCCCAAAAACCTCACTTAAACATCCAGGGCTATTTCCAGAAGTTTCTTGAGTGTTTTCTTAGTCATGCAAAAATGAAACAAGAACAATCAAATTCATAGCAAACAAGTTCTTGGCTTTGTTTGTCCAACAGAGAATTAACTAATTTTTAAGTGAAACAGAAATATATGCAATTAACTAAACTGGAACACTTAAAACTAAGTAACACAAACAGATATTCATTTTTGTTTACATTTCAGGCAGCATACAGACATTACATGAAACAAAGGTGTCAACTTCTAATTGCATTCTAAAAGCAAGATCACATCATTGCTTACCTTTAATAAGGGATGGATTTTTTCTACTGGGAGAGATAACGGATTTCTTCGTTTCCTCTTCTCAATAGCAGACTGGGCATCAGCTATTGCCCACTTATCAATAGGATGGGGAAAACTTTTTTGAACACGGTCCTTAAGAAAAACAGGACTAAAGGGTAAGCGCACAATCTGAATGAGCTTAGCAATATTACTACGTTATCAAATCGCTTTCCATTACTTAACAAAGGAATGTTTGCTAATATTAGTGTTTCAACTATACAAGCTTGTACAACACATGTAAATTTTATCATTTTGGTACATGCTGCTCACTACATTCATAAGGCTGTATCAGAATATCATTACCATAGAATAATCTAGTGTTCAAAATTTGAGAAATGCCAGAATTAAGTTGCCATTGCAGGCACAATTTGCTCCCCTTGTGCACATGCCTGGTAATTCAGCATTTAAATACATGATTACATTTTATCCTAGCACTTTATTCCTTGGACAGAATGGTCATTGAATGAAATGATACAAGTTTTCTGTTCCACCTTTACTGATCAGGGCATGGTCCAGATTGTGTACGTGCAAACTGCTCTGAGGATGGCAACGAACATAACAGGAAAAGAGAATGTCCAACAGCACCCACATATTTTAAAACAGTTTCATAGTCTACTGTTGGACCATATAGCCCCAGTTTATTTACTCCTTCCAGCAGTTCGGGTGCCTGAGGACACCTACACTCTCCCATGCATTGAACAACTCTCCTGCTGGAACTCACACACAGGTCTCTGCAGGTTCAAAAGCTTCACTGTTTTTGGTAGCCCTGGTGTTCAGAGATGCCAGAAATCCAATTTCTTGGAGAACTTCACATTTTATTTTTTCAGACCACAGTTCCCACTGACTGTTTCAGTCGCAAGCGCTCACTTACGTAAATATGACCGCCGTTTGAGCAACCATGAAATGAGGAAGATGAAGTTAATGACCACTTACAAAGAGCTGGTACAGGACAAAGTACACAAACAAAAAAACTTTCTGACAAAAAACTGGGACGGAATACAATTCTATAAAGGTGGCACCTAACTTTCCAAAGTACAGGCTTTTTCTTTTTCTCCCCTCATCATAACATTTCTGCAAAAGGAAAGCAGAGGTCCTACCGAAAAAAAAAAAAGTCTCATTCACTATCTAATACCAATTCACTCCCCTAATATAGTCCAGCCTGCTGACTAAACAGTAGGGGGAGACAGCATCATTATGCATGAACACAAAGGGGCTAAATTGAGGTTGCCTGATCGTCTCTAATTCTTGCATTTCTCATCCTGCCTTCGCAGCCATAAGACTCATAATGCCACGCTGTGCGTCAAGTTTTTTGTTAGCATTGTTTAAAACACAGCATTAAATAATCTTCCACAAACCTCTTGTCTCTTGAGCTGCCAGACCAGAATGATGTTGCAAAACAGGCCAGCCATTAAAGGGGACACTGGAACACCATTAGAGGTGTCAGTGTTCAAAAGAGAACAGGAAGGATGAAATTAATGAATCTTGAGCTCAGAGATACTACTTTTTTTTTTTTTTTAAAGGGGTTTTTGGACAGGCCGGGGGGGTTGCCATTAGTCCACTTTCCTGAGAATGTGAGGAAGTTGCATCTTGTTTTGTTACCTAACCCGGCACAGGCACAGCCGAGTACTGGAAACCAACAGGCACACTGCACGTGGAGTCTGTAGCTTGGCACTAAAGTCTTTCTTCAAGTCATGGTTAAGCACAAAGGGCTACCAAGACATTCATGGGCTCAGAAGCTTAACTCATTTAGCTTAAGTAATTTGTTCCTCAGACGGAGAAACTCTTCTCAGATCAAGCCCTCTTCTCAAACATCAAGCTGCTTTTCTGAGCAACAGAGGTTATAGATCTTTGAAAAGGCAATTGTAAGAGAAGAGGTTTCTATATAGAGGAAAGAAGTGTTCCTCAACTCATTCTGAGAAAGTGACTGAACTATTTTTGTTCAAATTTCTGGGACAGTGGGGGGTACATCAGCCTAAATTACCATGCTGAGAAAGCAGCACAGAGCCTCAGACTAAGCAGCTATAGTTTGCAGGCAATACCAGTGGGGAAAAAAGGTCTTTTGAAAGGAACCAGTCATCTTTATGTACACAAGTTACACTCACCTTCTATTATACAGTAATACAGTTCAGAGATAGTTTTACTGTGCATTGAAAAACAAATCCAATTGATAGGAAAATCAGCTATTAGGTAACTCAGCAGGCTTTATGTGGAAGGTTCTGCTACATAAAGATACATAATTACTGCTTTCCTTTTTACATTGTGAAATGATTACTATATTAACTTTTCATGTAACAGTTCAAATTATTACAAATCTGTAATAATTATTCTCTATACCTCTACATCCAGAAAACTTCTTGGTTGGGCTTGACACAACATATTTAACAACTGGAGAATTAACTCCTCCACATACTGTAACGCATCTTCAGTAGAGGAAAGTTTAGGATGGACTTGCACCTGAACCTATAGGAAATAGAAGAATTCAAGCTTTGAGTTTTGCTCTTCCCCAAACCACATGCTTTAGTTGCAAAAAAAATGACAAAAAATGAGCCAAACAGCTCAGAAAAATCCAACCCAAAAACATAGCTCTGTTAAGGCACACCAGACGAACACGAGTGAAACACTCATCTACACCTGACAGAAATACAAATCTCAAATGTTAAGGCACTCAAATCACTGTAAGTGACATTTAATGTCAAGAAAACAGCTGATTAATAATGGCGCTTAGCAGTGCAATTAGGAAAACTGTTTAAAAACCCTGCATATGTTTGTCTTTCTCCCCTAGCTCTTAAACCACTGTTTGTATAAGACATTTTAGACATGGGGTTTTCTCCCTTTTACAACTCATTGTTCGTCACTCAGTCTATAATCATGAAGTACAGAACTTTTTTTCCACAGAGAGAGCACTACAGAAACAGCAATGATTTCAGCAGCATTTAGCCCTGAAATTATTTAATCCATTCTCAATTAGCTCTCACTAAAAAAAGATTGGTTTAGAAGTCTGTTTCCATACTGATTTTCTAAAAAGATGTCAGCCTCTAGAGCAAAAAACACTTCAAAAAAGGCCAGCGTTGTCCTGGCATTAAGTGGCAGTTCAGAGGTTTTGAAAGTTTGGTCCCAGTACATTTACTTGTATGCCATAAGTGTCTGTAAGTTCCCACTGGTGTAAATCCACTGAGGCACGATCCTCCTTGCTCCTCCCATTATTTTTCCAGACAGTCATTTAACTTCTGAAACAAGCCTCCAGTATAGCTTTCCTTTGCACTTCTGTAGTTCACAGAATAGCATGGTTTTAGCCAGTTTAAATTTCAGGTATGCAATGCTCGGTGCTTCAGAACTTAAACAGACAGGCAGTTTAATCTCAATCCTACACCGATGGCAAATATTATGCCAGAGCCAGCTGACTGCTAACTTTCGCAATGCATCTTTCAAGCCCCAATTTCATCATTTTACCATTCCACTACACACAACTCAAAATGCCTCCAGTTCTCTCCATCACTAACACAAGGGCTTAACCAGCTTAAACCAAAACCCAACAATCTGTCTCATCCAAATATTAAACCCATGTCTATATTCAAATAATGGTGCCATAATTATTTAATTTCACACCTGAGTTTTCATTCCTGTTTGCAGTTATAGCAAGAATTAAATGTTATGAAGTTCAAACACACAACAGCCTCAAATAGAAATCCACTTGCCTGCTAAGGCACTCATTAGTTTGAAAACTTCATGTCTGGGCATAGTCCTGGTGCTCATTTAACTGCTGATTTAAATACGCTAGATCATGCGTTTAGTTTCTTGCAGATTGCATACCCTTATGCAGCAGGTCTTAAAAAAAAATCTCCAGAAGTTATTGCTTTTTTTAACTTAAAAGCACTCTGGCAAAAATAGAACAAGAGAACTTCTCTCCATTTGACTAGCTAACGCAACTATTTTGATTATGCCAACAGTTTCATTTTTCCCAAGAACTTCACCGTGCACAGCTACAGAGTGTGTCTGCAGAGGTACCCGAGTAACATGCCCAGCAGTCCCAAGTATTATTTACAATTCAAACACTGACATCTGAAATACTGTGCCAGCTTGGAACATCTTAACACCAGAAATTACAGACTTGCAGAAGTATTCTCTTAAAGATCAGAGCTGATCTGAGCTGCCTGGAAGATGCTGCCTTTAATGTTTTTTTTTTGTTGTTGGTTTTTTTTTTTTTTTAAAAGCAGAACTGAACAAATTTGTATTACGTTCTCCCTACAGTATACTACAGCACTTTGTATTTCGAGAAGTGTTAAATTACCAAGTCAATCCGACAGTAAAAATACAGAGCATGATAAACCGCAGTGATGAAGAGCAGCTCTATTTTCTCCTTTGCTTAGAAAACAGATTGTAGACTTAAATAGCCTCATCACAACTCTTTCGGTTTGTAACACAGAGTCTATAGGAATAAGAACAAACAAACAAAAATACCACATCAGGCCGTGACCTGAAACATTATCCATAGTCAGCCGAAACAGAGTCAACAACGATAACCTACTCCTAGTTCAGGAGATAAAGTTCCAAACATTTTTCCTAAGCATTTATGTTTGGGGGCAATTACATCATTCTTCTCAAAGGCCATCATCTTCTGGCACTATCAAGCTCTACTTCAGTAGAATATCTGCCTTGGCAGAGGAAAACATCATGAGGTGCCACTGGCTTGCCAGCATACTTTATCTATATTAGGTAGGTAGTAAATAAGCTTCATTGCTACTTAAGTGAGATTTAGTATCATTTAGGGTTCAAAGTCATACAAGCAAAAGCAAGAAAACAACTAGACTAACAAGGAAAATTACAGGCTAGCTTGCTGTACAATTATCATAGAAACATGTAATTTTAGTATCTGCACTACTGTAGTACCTAAAGGCTCAGACCGAGAATGAAGCAGTGTTATTTGAGGGTACTCAAAGCAAGTCCCAAGAAGTCCATTATCTAAGACATGATGCAAGACTGGGTAAGATGCAAGATTTAGTAAGAGAAGACAAGAAATGAGAACATCTGTTAGCATACACCATCACGTGACCAGTTTCAAAAAAGAAGATCAAGTTACCAGGGGGTTTCCATCTTTCTCATAAAGTCAGCTCAGATTTTAAATTAAAAAATCTAGGCCACCCTGTCTTATCACCCTTGAAAAAACTGAGTATGGCTTGAATCCCACCAGATCCTTCTCAATCCTATGTTAGGAATACACATGATAAAAACAGACTAACAACTTCTGAAGTGTAGTGATGTTTAGATAAGATTCTTATCTAAACATTTAACCTCTCCCTTAAATAATGACAGAATCCATCCCCTCCCTCCTACACACAAACACCAAAATGTCTATTTTATGATAAGGAAAATTACTAAAAGAGCAGCTTAAGATCTTTTCATAAAAGTTTCAATTCTTCAAAATACCCCAACAAATTCTAACAGGCAAATACAATCTACATCAGCTACAAATCCCTGCCTCCGTGACTCTGTTTTAACTCATCTGATCACTTTTTTGAATGCTCAGTCTTCGCAATCTTTTTTAATTCTCAAAAGGGGAAAGACTAGGATTCTCTTTATTTGAAGATAAGCAGAGCCAGCATTTCTTGAACAGCTTTTCATGTGCTGTTTAAGAACACAAGCAGAGACAAGGAGTGTCTGCTTAAGAAAATTCATAGCACTTCAGGAAAATCGTATCATATGACCACTTGGTGCTTTTTTTTTTTCTTTTTTTTTTTTTCTTCCCTTAAAAATCAACAAAAGCAAGGAATTTCCATCAGGAATGGCAACAGCTTAAAAATTAGGCAACCCTAAATCTAAGCTGCCAGAAAAAGCCAATGAAATCAACTAAAAAAAATGTGCTTAATGAATAAAGATATCTGATCTTAGCTTTATATAAAAGAAGTTGCTAAGGATTATAAAGTTTCTCAAACCATTCCTTTCAAACTCTACATAATAAATTAGAATACAAACACTCCCACAAGCCTCGTGGGAAGCAGTAGGGACCTAGACCAAACCCAGAAACAAGTTTCAGTTAAAGGACTGCAGATTGCACAGCTTCAGCTTACACAGAGGCTTGGTTGCTGACTGGCCCAACACAACAACTCCTAAGCTGGTCACCAGATGACCCAAACCCGAGTCTAGACTGACACCCAGCAGCTCATTCGGCACTAGAAAGAGGTGTTTGATGACAGATAAGAAAGGAAGATTTGCACAGTGAATTTAACAATCTCATTGATACCAAACCACGCTTCCTTAGCAACAGTTTTCGGTTACCTCTTCCGCACGCGGCCAAAAGGAAAAGCCTAATTTATGTCAATCATAAAGCTGAAAAATGCCAACTTATGATGAAAAAAACTCTCCAAAGACTTCTTAAAGCCACTTCATGTGTTACACAAACATCAGCGTAATGCTCCCAAATCATCGTTAACAATCAATGCAATCACACTCGCAGTTCTCAGTTGTTCTGCTAAATACAGAACGCACCAGAAAAATCCTACACGTGAAAGGCTGCAGAGAGAACAATACCGAACCGAGTCCTATCAGGAGCAGCAGAAGCTCCAGCAGCTTCAGAAAAGTGCGTAACAGAAGGAAATCATTCTAAAGCTACATAACAAACTGAAATAAAAACGAAGCATCTACTGTTGGTTAATTTTTTTTCGTATCTGCGCAAGAAGTCTACCCATCTACGGGGATTCTGTCAAGAAGTCACAGTATGAATCAAAACCCAATGTCTGCTAAAGACACCACGCTTCACTGCTGAGTACAGGTACTGCTGGCGCTGCCAGTCTTCTTGGTGGCGGCTGGGGGGTTTGTAAGAAAGTGTCTAAATGAAAAAACCCATCATATTTACCACAGCATTTTGATGATAAAATGGAAGAAGCTGTAATGATACGACAGGCCAAGCTGTTTTCCAAAGCACTGTCAGAGAAGGCGAAGCTTTACAGATTGTAAGCATTTTTCTAAACCTTCGCAGACAGTTTATTCAATGGATTATTAGTAGAAATTACTTGGCCACAGAGCAGGTTTTTCTGGGGGGGAGGGAAGAATTTTCTTCACTTCAGTAACTTTGAAAGTCTTCACTGATGTTATAACCCTTATTTTTACTCAACATATCTTTTGTTAATCTTCCCTCAATGACGACGAAACTACTGACAAGCAACTGCTTATCACTAAAACACTCCAGGATGAAATATTTTATGTACAGCTTGCATGGATGAGTGTTCTCGCAGTGCAAGCACTCCATAAAAAGGTTTTTTTTTCTCTTCTTGTACATCTCTGCTGGTATTTGGCAACCCTGCCCATGTTTTGTTATCTTGATCAATTTAAAATCCAGTAAATTAAACCAAATACAAATGACTCGGATCCACGCTTCAGCAACAATTCATGGAGGCCACAAGACTCAGATTTTGGTAACATTTCTCTTGATGCATCAAGGCAGAAGTATTACACTGCACGTGAAAAAACTTACAGTAAAGACTTGAACCATAGGATCTTAACTTTATCCTCCATAGCTATCAGAAGAACAGAGAACCCAAAGCCATCAGAAATTAAGGATGTTCTACATCTGCAGCGAAGCCGTGCCAAGAATAAGAAGTGCCATTCTGAGTACCAAGTGGCAACTGGACTGTCATCGATTTAAAGAACTAGGTAACTAAAAGTCGGATAGAAATATCTTTGTCAGCCACAGCTTCCTGAGCACTCTGTAGTCACTGAAGCAGCTTTTCTCGTCTCTTTTGCTCTGTGAAAGGTCCAGAAGACTGACTATATGATACAGGGAGTACCTGGAAGCACAGTGCCTGGAACAGTTTCCTTAACTGAGGAAGCATATCCCCCTCAGCTGTCAAGCCACATCCGTCCAATCATTCTGACGATAACAAATCCCGACAGCTCCCCTTGTTAATTTCTCAACAGATTCAAAACAACTTGAGGTACGCAAACAGCAGAACATCTGCACAATAAGGAAGTTCTTTTGCTTTTCTCAATCACTGAATTGCTTAAGGTATCAATCAGTAAGGATGATACACTTTCTACTGTAAAAACCAACATATCAGGGAAGAAGCAAGTCATAGACACGCAGAGAAATTCTGACTACATAAACAAGAGTTATACAAGCAAGATAAAGCAGGTTATGACCAGAATAAAGTGTATAAATTCACTAGCGAAAGAACACGAATGTTGGAAGAGGCATCACTTTGCAGGTGTCCCTTCTCAGTCCATTTTCCAAGGTGTATTAAAAGCCACGTATCTCCATCTCCAGCCACCCAAGAGCTCTGGTGTTTCATGCGTCTTGAATCCTCCATCTTCAGCCCCAGCATCTCACCTTCTGTCCATCTCTGCAACTACAATTTCAGACACCAGCTGTTATTCTTACTTCCTTTTCTTGTACCTCATCACCACAATTACTGTCTTTCATCAGCAACCAAGGATCTCTGCAACACTCCTCTTTTGCTGCTTCGAAATAACAGTGACCAGGCAGAGAAGTATCTCAGTACACATCATTTTCTTCGTAATTCAGTGCACCGGAGTCTATCTCGACAGCATCTGAAGGAGAATCGGAAGAAAAGGGATTACATTATGATCTGAATGGCACAAGAGCTGCTTTTTGCAAATGCAGCTGTTCGATGCAAATACAGTTCTATTGTTAAGGTTCACGTCTAATGAAATACAAGGCATGCTCGCCTAAGAATTTGTTGATGTAGGAAGAGATTCATTCTTACTACATATTCTTGTTTTTCTTGTTTGATAAAAAAAAAACAACAAAAACAGAATCAAAATAACTCATTGGGAAAAAGAAAGCGATTTGCAAGGATTCAACAATACCTATTTTTTAAGAAAGTGATTCCGAGGCGCAGTTTGAGCTCTGCATTACAAGCCACCTCACAGTTACAAAAGGGCAACGGCACTTTAATGATTCAATGACCACATGTAGCAGCCTTCCCCAATAGCTGCGAATGCTCCATCCTGGTATATATACTTTAACAATGTTAAATTAAATGCCAGTCTCCTCATCGGAGATACTAGTTCAACATAGGTCTTCCCAAACTATTCTCATTTCCAGCTCTGCAGCAAATCATCACAATCCTGTTTGTGCATCTACCTGGTTTCAAGGTGGAGTTCAGAAAGCAGTTTGCTGTCACTACCCGAGAATGAGCGTCAGCACCTGGTCAGCTAACAGGGGAAACGAAGGAAAGGTTCTCCTCTACTAACGACAGGATGTACATGAGCTTCAGATAATCTGACTCCTACTGAGATAGCATGCTCTGGCAGTTCAGCAGACAATGCCACAAGGCACTAGTCTCCCTCCAGGACAGTTTTGCCCTTTGACCTCTCTGGCATATGTTGCCACATTCTCTACTTTACTAGTCCCACACGCTAGCCTCCAGGTGCACCTCAGGTATTTGGCTAGCAGAGCAAGGGGTCACTGTCTCAAACCCACTGGCTGCAAAGCTGCAGTATCACACCTGTCTCATGAACAATGACAGATGATTGTCAAAGCAAGTACGCTGCAATGTTCATGGTTTCACCTACCACCTATGACAGGTTCGTTACTTTACGGGGCCTTTATCGAGGTAAACACCCTAGCCAACACTACTTGTACCTACGTAAGTT